TTTCCTCCTGTTACATGATTTGTATGCAGAAAAATATTACTGATCGACGATACCGTGCGCTAAGCTGTTCCAATCATAGTAGGTGATTGTTGTTGAGTCCAGAATGGGCATCTGTCCGTTTCGTTGATGCAAGTAGTCGTTTCATACTTTGACCAAGAAGGGAACACAGAAAAGAACATGTCACCGAAGTTTTCGTGGCGAGAGGGCTAATAATTTTTACCTTATCCTATAGTACTGCATAAAATCAGCATGTAGAGTACTGAACTTTATTTAACCTCTGCTTTCATCAGCTGAAATTACCTACTTGTGTTGTTGGCAATGTTGACTAACAGCTTAGATCTAATTTCTGCACTGGTTTCGCTTCAAGGATCGTTAGCTCTCGCTCGGTCCTTAATATCTATTAATCAAATCTGTTCTTTATTGTATGCTACTTATTATTTAAAAATAGATTGTGTGTAATCTTTAACTGTTGGAAAATAATCCACATATGCTGTTCATCACTATTCTTCGCAAATCCTTCAAATATAGCTTAACAGTTAACTGTTGTAGATGGCATTAGGTTCAGTGCAAACCTCATCCTCCGTTGAAGGAAAAGACTGTCGCAATGCCGCAATTTCTTTATTTCGGGAGAGGGTGCTTAAGCGCGGAGGGTACAGTTTGATCCTTTCGTCTGGGCTGGACCAAAAGGACTCTTCGGCAAAATTACTCATGAAGAGGGATGTCAGCCCTGACTATCACTACACTTCTACCTGGCCTGTGTTCTATCTTTGTGGCTAGTCCTTCGCCCCTGAAACAGCTGTGTAAGAGAATTCACTCCGCTGTAGTTCTCTGTAGAAGGGAAAGTACTTTAATCATTACCTGCCCCTTTTGGACTTCGTTTCTGAGGTCGAATTTCTAGAGATGTTGTCGTTGCTCCCTGATATTCAGTTTTTCAGTATGCTTTTTAATCAACCTTGACACAACATCTGATGCTGCTTAGGCCATGTGCTGAAAAGGTACATAATGTCTATGTATATTAATACTTTGCTGTTTTATTAACGCATGGTAATTTATTAAACCTAGGAAAAATTGGGATCGATCTCATAAGATAGACCATTGTTTTGTTGTGTATTATAATAAACCATTTTTGAACTGGTTTTTCATACCGGAAACCATAAAAACAAATAAACCAAATATTTTATCTTTCGAATATTAAACAAAAAATTTTTATATCACAACATCTGATCATTGTTCTTTTCAGGTCGCACGTTCTCCAGAAGGTTTGTCACTACTTCTCGTACAAAGTGCGGTACACGAATAGCTCGACGGAAATTCCTGAATTCCCAATCGCTCCGGAAGTAGCTTTAGAGCTGTTAATGGCCGCTAATTTTTTGGACTGTTAGCTTCTATAAAACGATATGTAAATTTTGTCCCTGTGTGTTATTTTAAATTGATATTCATTCAACTTCTTTTTAATAAATACATTATTTTACGATAACTAAAATACCGTATATGTTGCTTGTGTTCTAGTCGAAAATTCCCTATATATGGCACTGACTCTCATTAAGCCGGAAGAAGATGGCTCAGCTGATCTGCGAAATAAAAAGCATCAGGCAGGTGAAAGTGCGTATTTTAGTCCTCGCATAGTCATCGTAAATGGTAGACTTAGATCTTGCAACAACACCATCAAACATTTGGCGATTCTCATGAATGACAAATTGAATCGATTGGATCACATTTTCTGGGATTTCCGGAAAAGCGGCAAGTCTCACATTGTGCACCCTTACAACTCATGTATAGACATTCAAATATGTTCCTATACCGGACTACGTCAAGACAACTTCAACAGAAACAGATTTGATGGCGCATTTTACCGGTTCCTTCTATTTGCTTAGGAAGCCTCTTTAGCAGGCCACGGCTCAATCGCATTTGAGTACCTAAAGTACCAGACGCGTCTTGCATGATTTGTTTCGCCACAGCCATATTGGGCTCATTACAAATTATGTTCAGGAGTTGATACTCTTCATGTGTTACCGCATAAACATCTAAATATGTTCCTACGCTGGAGTATATCAGATAACGCAATACTCCTTAAAGATCAGAGATCAAAGAGTCGTGGCGTCCTTAAACCGTGCTTCCGCTGGCTTCTAGTTAAATGAGAGATGAGGGCAATAAGTCAAAAAATTTGGTCGTGGAGGAATTTTGGGATATTAAACACCCTGTATGGGGTAAAAAATATTTTGTTGCTTATATTATGCTTGCGGCATCATATAAGGAGCAACAGCTACTGAAACATCGGTCCAATGAACGCGGGATAGCTCTAGCGAACGAAATGATGAAACATGCAGCTGCAAATACCATAAAGCCATTGTCTGATTAAATGGTCCCTCATCGCTAAGCAA